ATATATATATATATATATATATATATATATATATTTATACACTTATTGTTGCCTTTATTTCACTATGTGTGTTAAGTTTATACATACATATTTTATTTATACTGCAAGTGGTTCTGCACTTTATCAAACGTGATAAAACAGCGCGGCGTATGTCATATTCCATCTCTTTCTTCCTTCCTGTTTTACTATCAAAATCTGACTTCATGTTTCGATTTTTTGACATTTATCCCTCGGGGGCACGCGTGATGTTGATTACAGTGCGTTCCGTTACACGCTCGCAACGCTCGCGAGCGTCATTCTATCTTTGTTTAACATCTATAAGCAACAAAGATAGAATGTCTGCGTTTAGCAGAGAAAACTGCTCTGCTACCGCTACGTAGCGAATATCTACGATTGGAGTATTCTTTCAGATCTTTGATATATATATAAGAATACTCCAATAGACATTCGTTACGTAGCGGAAGCGGAGCAGTTTTCTTTGCTGAACGCAGCCATTGGTTGAGAAAGCTGCTTTGCAACTGTGTAAAATTCGTGAATCTGATTGGTACATACTCTTGGATTTAACCAAAATTAAGAGCATACTCCAATCAGATTCACGAATTTTACAACAGTTGCAAAGTAGCTTTCTCTGCTAAACGCAACCAATGACTCTCGCGAACGTTGCGAGCATGTAACGGAATATGGCTCTTGCACACAAGACGCGGTAATACTTGCCGCGCGGCGGAAGTTAGCACGACAGCCAATCAATATGCTGCTTTCCGTAATAACCTTCTAGCTCTTACGGAAAAACAACATATTGATTGGCTGTCGCGCGGATTTCCGCTGTACGACAAGCATTACCGCTTCCTGTGTGCAGGGCTGCGTTCAGATTCCACACCCGGGTGTATTCTATTACTAGAAGTGCTATAGTATATGTAACATGTACTATAGTATTTCTAGTAATAGAGTGCACCCGGATGAAAAATCTGAATGCACTTCAGGGCTGGTATTCCGTTACCGTAGTTCCGACAGTTGTCGGATCGGTAGGCGTCGTTGCGCAATTTTTCCATGGTATAAAAAAGCTGCGCAACGACGCCTACCGATTCGACAACTGTTGGTACGCGGGAACGGAATAGTAGCCCAGGAGCCATTACGCCCATAGCGAAGCATTGTGAGAATAGGAAAAGTGGGGATAACTGTCCTAATAGCACAGATGTCCAGGGGACATCCAGAGAACATCCTGAGAATGTCCTGAGGACATTCTTTGTCCTCAGGACGTCCTTAGGACGTCCTCAGAAGATCTTGTGCTGTCTGAGTGGCAGTCCATATTTATATAGTCAAAAGGTTCATGACATCTTAAAAGTACTTAAGATGATCTTAAATATAAGATTGGACTATGAATACCGGCCTATAATGATTGCGTTCCAAAATTCACTGCCAGTACTGAAAATCTATAGTTTATGTCACGTATAGAATTTCAGCACTGGCAGTGAATTTCGGAACGCAGCCAATATATGCACAGATAATGGCCTTCTTTACATCATGCACTTGATACGCGTATTAAATAGTAACTTTCTATTAGATAATCTTAATATCGACAATGGCTGCGTTCAGTAGAACAAGTGATCAGTAAGCGCTCAGTGAGCTCTTGCATCCGATTGGAGTATAGTTGGAGATCTAAAAGAATATGCCAAATCATATACAAGAACTCCCTGAGCGCTTACTGATCACTTGTTCTACTGAACGCGGCCAATGCATATCAACGGCGACGTATTCAATCAATACAATATGTTTTAATTAAAATATATATTTAAAATTGAGACTCAAGGATCGGTCTAAGTATGGAAGATTGATTCTCCGCGTACGGTAATCGAAGAGAAAATTTCGATACGTGCGTTTGACATACTGGACATTTTTATCCTCCCACAATCATATTAATATTAAAGTTATATTAATATTTAATAGCACTAAGACATCCGTGCTAGCTCCTTATGTGCCATTAATATTTTACTATTAGTTAACAATATGTTTTGTTGATGAGTATTATACCAGCTTAATATACCGTTGTTTATATATATCGTCGATATTAAGATTATCTAATAGAAAGTTACTATTTAGTACACGTATCAAGTGCACCATGTAAACCAAGTCATTGTCTATGCACAATGCCAGGCAACAGGCAATAGGAACAGAGAATAGGAATTCGGATTGATTAATTATTTCTATTCCCTGTTCCTATTGACTAATGTCTGTTCCTATTTCCTGTTGCTTGGCATTATGCATAGGGCTTTAGCCAATAGAAACAGGAAATAGAAATAATTGGCCAATCCGAATTCCTATTCTCTGTTCCTATTGCTTGTGTCTGGCATTTTGCAAGGGTCTTAAGGTGCCAATACATGGAAGCGTTCCAGCGTCGAGCGTTAAAACGTTAGCCAATCAACGTATCAGGTCCCAGAAATATACTTGTAGTTCTTGCGAAAAGTGGCACGTTGATTGGCTATCGCTTTAACGCTCGATGCTCCCATGTAAAAGCACCTTTACTCCGTGTGACGTCACGAACTGCTGCAGTGTCGCGATCTAGTGGAGAGATCACAGAAGTTCCAAGCTTGAAGTTTTCACTGTCATTTATAGTTGGTTTGCAGACTGTCAGGAGTGTGGACGTATTACGAAGGTCAGTTTGCAGCACGACTTCTCTTGAACGCAGATAACCAGGTTGGTTTAGTCGTAGTATGTTATTAATAACGCTGATTAAGAGTTTCCTCGACGAGGAGGGACAGAATAGACATAATTGTGAGCTTCATTCCTTTCGATCATGCCGAATTCGTTGTTTCTGTCTGATACTTCGTGTCGCCGGGCGATTTTTCGTGCATTGAGAAAAAGGCAAAAATGGAAGAAACAAAGATTCTTCACGTCCTGTACTATACGCGTGTCTACCGTGACCGTGTCTTAGCGAACACGAATAAAGCCAGCGGCACACGGTAATTGTTTTCGTGTTGGATTGCTTGCTGGACGGAAATACTCTGTTTTGATTGGTGCATTTCCTTCAGAAATTAGAACAGAGTATTTTCATCCAGCGAGCACAACCAACGAAAACAAGCATCGTATGCCGCTGGTTTAACATACGTTTGAGTTATTCCGTATGTAAAGCTAAAATCACACGACGCATAATTTCGTGACCTTTGTGATATGCATACTAATCAGCAGCTCACTATCGCACATCAACAATTTATTACATAGATCTTCCAATACACTACAGCATATCGTGCAGTGAACTGAATTTCCGATCTTGCATGTAAAAAAGGATGAAATCGTACATCCTATGATTCTAGCTAACTTCATGCTTGCTTGATTACATAAAGTGTGTCTGGAATGTTTATTAGTCACAGCGCTGTTTTGCACTCATTCGATTCTACTTCGTTGAGAGTTGATTTTCGGCCGGCATCCCCAAATCATCTTATAGAACGTGTATGGTTTGGATAATATAAATAAAGTTCGCCGAGTTTCAGCAGAGATTTATTTTCAGGACATTTCTATCTTAGTTAATTCGCTTCTCCAATTGAGGCACAAAGTTTGTAACCATTTTAAAGCAGTTTGTGACGTCGCTCTACGTCATTCTCAAAAATAACACGTGGTAACTGCGTTATCTCGCGTTATTTTTTTCGACACAACGTTGTCTTTTATTATTTGATTATTCCCCTCACATTTAACTATAATCAATTTTAAAAGCTTAATGGTTAAATCATCTATCATAAACTAGGATTAATGTATGCTGAAAAAAGGGAGAAAGGGGAAGGAAGAATAGAGAGATAGAGTTAAATTTTTATCGCTATTAAGGGATAACAATTTTATTATAAATAATACAAATTTATATCACTATTAGGTGATTATATAATCGAATTAAATTCTTAAATGATCACTGTTAAGTGATTATTTTTAAATTTAATTTCAATTCATCTCTCCATTCTTTCCCGTTTCCCCTCCCTTTCCACTTTTTCAGCATACATTAATTATGATATACAATAGATGATTTAAACATTAAGCCTTAAAAATTGACCAATTACTGTCAAAGCTAACATTTAGTGCAACTGACCCTTTGCTCTTTCGTCGTAAAGTTATTTTTAATTTTTCAACATGCCACGAACGAATTATAGAATCTTTATTGCACAATATAGTAAGTTTGTTATCAATAACGGCATCAAATAGATATTCGGGATACTGGTAATATAATAAAATATAACAGCACAAAAGATATTTTAATAATTATAATAAAAATAAAGCTCTAACACGATTACAAAAATAAATATAAAAATAATTATAATTTGTCTAAGTTTAAATTTGGCAAATATGATATTGGAAAGATAATTAAATTTAACATAAATTAATTTTAAGATAATTAAATTAATTAAAAGGTGATTTTACTTATCATAATTTTTAGTGTAATTTTGATTATCATTCTAATTATTATTACAAGTATTATAAGTAAGTAATTATTATTATATATAACAAATATATAAGTGTTATACAAGTAATTAATTTGTTTAAAGTTAATTAAATTAATTAAAAGTACAACGTCACGCATCAGTCGCCGCGAATTCTTCAGTCTGTTTTTTTTTTTAACTTTATTACGCGCTAATTCTCTCTTTCTAAGAGATATGTATTCAGAGATACATATCATACATGTATGCATAGTGATTAGATACATATATACGATAGCGTGTTGTATTAGCACATTAATAGTAGTTACGGCTAATCGTCGCATGACTGTGCACAAATTAAACATCTGCTGCTGTTTATTCGCCAAGACGCGTGACAATTATCGCATTATGACGTATGAGAAGAAGCTCGAATGCTCGGAAAGAAAGTTTTGAGTGTATTCGGGTGGAATTTTTTCGATCCTTTCATCTATAACAATTTGTTTAATCTAAAATGGCATATTTTTTTCATTTTTTAAGAGATGAATTCGTCTTCCCGTTGCGGCAGAACTTTCAACAGATTCTTTATTTTTAGTTGATTACTTAAATGTGTGTACACATATGTATACATATATTTTTATTTATATATTTATTTAAATTTATGAAATAAAATGAATTAGATACTACACGTTAATCGGTGAAATTTTCCACGTGAAAATATCCGTATTGTTATACAAATTTGAACTTATTAGTGTTATTAGATTGCTCAAAGCGGCTTATTGATTACGTTCAGCAGAAAAAGTAGCTTAATCAGCGTTTTGCGCTGCTCTGTCGGCAGCTTTGCAACTGTTGTAATATTTTCTGAATGACAACAGTGGTTTACGCTTCTCTAATATATTTACTAAGCCGCTTATTTTTCCTAGCATATTGGTTGCATTCACAGAAAAAGCAGTTTAATAAGCGCTCATAGTATGTTATTAATAATGATTAAGAATTGTAACTGATCAGGATTAGAATTAAGAATTAGATTAAGAATTTCCTCAGCAAGGAAAGTACACAAACAGGCATAATTATGAACTTTATTCCTTACAATTATGCCGAGATGCCGTTTGACTTTACTTTTAATATGCTGAACATAGTTATTCTGATCAATTATAATTCTTAATCATTATTAATAACATACATATGACTGTACTAATCTGATTATTTGCGTCCAAGACGCACAGTCGTGCTGCGAGCTGACCTTCGTAACATATTAAGGCTCCTGGCCCCTCGCATTGCCTAACTCTTTTTAATGACGTCAGAAGCGAGAAAATATATACTAAAAATTCCTGCGAAATACATTAAAATGAAAATTATATCCATAAATTAACACTTATAATCCATTAAATTTGTAAGATATTCCGCGCATTCCTCTTTTGCTCTAACAATCAATAATTTGTTGTAAATTAACGTAACATACAATTCATTTTCTTAATCTGTTTCTTCGCCTATTTCTATTCAGTTTAATAAAGTTTTACAATAAATTATTGGTTGTTAGAACAAAAGGAGAGTGCACGGAATATCTTACAAATTTGTTTAATTGATTGCAAGTTTAAGGATAGTTTGCACCTATTCAGACGGTTTATAGCTTAGGTAAAGCCTACTTTGACGATATTGACACTCATTAACTTCTCTTTTGAACCTTTAACCCTACCTTGTCAAAATTTTGACGCTACTTTGACGCTACTCGCTGAAAATAGTTTGAGCTTACTTAGATAATCTACAACCTAGGTGAAACCTATTTTGACGATATTGACGAATTTTGACTTTACGTTGAACCTTGAATTCTATAAAATAAATATATTCTATGTAGGAGCTAAAGCTTCAATAGAGATTCGCAACTGAACCTACTTCCTAAGATCCTACTATTATATAACCTACTTTGACGCTAAAGAAAGCGAAAGCGGAAATTTCAGACATCATCAAGGTCAAAGTAGCAATAAATTATATCGTTAGAAATAAACCTACTTTGCTATCTTAGCTCCTACTGCGGTGTAGAATTCAAGATTCAACATAGATTCAAAATTTCGACTCAGGATACTTTATGGATATATATTTTTATGTCTACGTATTTCCCTGGAATTTTTAGTATGCATTTTCTCGCTTCTGACGTCATTAAAAAGAGATAGACAATGCGAGGGGCCAGGAACCTTAAGAATGGTTACGTTCAACAGGAAAAGTGCTTTGCGCTACACTATCAACAGCTTTGAAACTCTTCGCAAGATTTTCTAATGAACGACATCTGGTAGTTTATGTATTTCCAACATGTTGACTGCGTTCAGCAGGACATAACAGTTGTACGACCGTCTTATGATTTTCTGTTGAACAGTACTAAACGCCCTCAACAGTCGCTATATTTTCTAGCAAACCGAAAGTACGCTGAACTTAAGCGCAAAATTTTGAGCAAGATTAATGCCCCTTAAATACGTATAAAGCACAATAAGCTAACTTGCAGAAAATGGCAACTGCTTAGTAAACCTGTTGGAAAAGCATAAACTGCTGGCGTCGTTCAGCAGAGAATCTTAAAATACTTGCAGAACCGCTTGTAGCGTTTGATTAAGTTGTTTTTTTCTTGTTGAACATTATCACGTTGTCGCTAGTTACGTGTAATAATGTGACGCGGATAAGATGATATTCTATTGCGACATATCATATTCAAGTGATAAAAGAGGTAGAAAAAGAGTTCGCTTGGAAGTTATCACTCCTCTGCAACTGTGTTATTATCCACACGTACATATTCGTATCTAATAATAACGTAATAGATATAAGAAACAAATTATATCAAACAGCTCTATATAATTGGACAGAACTCTCGTTGATACAGAAATACTTTTGGACCAGTCGATCGTACGTGCTGACTTGTAAAATGTGATAACTTAATCGTATGCATATTGTAAACATTAAAGCAGACGTAATCAATGTATGAATACATTTTATTTACATTATAAAGTTACATAAGTCACGACTTATATATACATTTACTTATGATAAAGCTAGAATCACGATTTCATGCTTTCTTACAGGGAGATACCGAGTGATAAATGACGAACAATGACAAATCAAATATTATTTACTTAAATCAGATAAACAATATTTGATTTAAATAAAGAGAATTTAGATTTAAGTAAATATGTTAGTGGCACTCAAGAAATATTTGTTGATTTTAAGGTAATTTTTCCCTCAGTGTAGACGAAGCATTCCGTCCGTAAAATAAAGCCGGAAGTTAGCAGTTTAGAACAAAGTGAGAAAGTTGATTCC